ACAATGACAATCCTCCAAAATACACAAAACAAATTCTAACACCACTGGAAAGAGAAATTGACAGTTTCACAATAATAGTAGGAGACTTCAACACACCACTGTTGGTAAAGGACAGAATATCTAGAAATAAACTCAGCAAACATATAGAAGATCAAAAGGTCACAATCAATCATCTTGACCTCATTGACATATATTGAACATTCTACCCAAAGTTAGCAAAGTATACATTCTTTTCCAGTGCACGTGAAATATTTTCTAGAATAGACAATATCTTAGGCCACAAAGCAACCTTCAAAAAAATCCAAAACAAGGAGATAATACAAAGCATCTTCTCTGATAACAATGCCATTGTTGTGGATTGAATTGTGTCCCCCCAAAAATGTGCGTATCTATTTGGCTGGGTCATGATTCCTGGTATTGTGTGATTTTCCTATATGTTGTAAATCCTGCCTTTATGATGTTAATGAGGGAGGATGCATGACAGTTGTATTAGTTAGGCAGGACTCCATCTATAAGACTGGATTGTGTCCTGAGGCAATCTCTTGAGATATAAAAGAGAGAAGTGAACAGAGAGATGGGGGACCTCGTACCACCAAGAAAGCAGTAACAGGAGAAGAGCGTGTTCTTTGGACCTGGGGTCCTTGCTTGGAGAATCTCCTAGTCTGGGAGAACATTGATGAGAAGACCAACAGGAAGAAAAAGTCTTCCCCTGGAGCTAACGCCCTGAATTTGGACTGTTAGCCTACTAGACTGTGAAAAAATAAGTTTCTCTTTGTTAAAACCGTGCACTTGCGGTATTTCTGTAGTAGCAGCACTAGATGACTAAGACAGCCATAAAAGTAGAAATTAATGACTGGAAGGCAAGGAAAAGAAAAACATGGAAAACTGAATTATACCTTGCTTAAAAACCACTGGGTAATAGAAGAAATCAAAGATTGAATAAAAAAAATTTCTATAATCAAATGAGAATGAAAACACACCATACCAAAACCTTTCGGACACACCAAAGGCAATATGTAGAGGTCAACTTATAGCAATAGATGCGCACATTAAAAAAAGAAGAAAGGGACAAATAAAAAAGGTTAGCCCTACAACTCAAACAAATAGAAAAAACAGCAAAAGAAGCCCACAGCCACCAGAAGAAAGGAAATAATAAAGATCAGAGTAGAAATAAATGAAAAAGAGAACAGAAAAACAATAGAAAGAACTAATGAAACAAAAAGTTGATTCTTTGAAAGGAACAGCAAAATTGACAAACCACTGGCCAAATTGACAAACGAAAAACAGGAGAGGAAGCAAATAACTCTAATAAGAAATGAAA